GTCTATAAGAGATTCCAATTTGTCTTTGTGTACGTTGATTTTTCTAATTTTATCAATCAAACGGTCAAGGATTTGTTCCGGTCGCCCAAAGAAGGTTTTTAGGGTATCGATCTCTTCTGGGACTTATTCTGGCAGCAGCAGCTTATCACGCACCAACTCATAAGCTTTGTCTTAAGACACTTCTGGAGCCGAAGCATGTTTCCTGCATTTGAAAAGCCGGCCACTGCGCAGCTGTTCTCATACATGCTGATGAAAATCGGCCAGTCCTCCGCATTGCCGTTAAAGGTGGGCAGATCCGGTGGTAGCACTTGTCTTGCGGCTAACTGGGAGGTACTTGGCCCAATTGGTGGGAATGAAATTACCTGTGTTCCCTGCTCCTGTGCAAGCACCAAGTATTTCTTCTCTATGTACCTTTTTATACCCGTACTCAAAAAAGAGTTAAGGGTGTATTAGATTTTTGGTAAAAGTGGATGTGTGTAACGCAGAGAAGGAAACGTTTCCGACCCCATAAAGTATATATATTCTTGATTCGCGTCCCCAGAAGCGACTCACACGTTCCTTCTCGTTTCAGCATCGCGTGTCTCTACCATCATTGCCAACATCAAGGAATTTGAGCTAGTATGTGTGTGTGTTTGCTCGGTCAGCTTACGCAGATTTGTTTCTGGAAGTGGCTTTGATATATTGCAATTGACTTGGTCAACTTGCATGGTGTTCCCGGGATTGATGTTTTCCGGAACGGGCCTTCCGCCACCTTTGCTGGTTGAAGCTTGATCACTACGGGGGGCCTTGCATGCGGGGCATGTCCATTCCAACTGCGCAATGGTGCTGTTCACACCAACACAGTCAAAGTGGTGCCAAATCTTGCATTTGTCGCATTGCACCCAGTCTTTTTAAAGAAATGTTAAGGCACGGGTGTTGAATATTTCGAAGCAATAAAAGGTAGACAAATTTATATAGCATTCCAATTTATTATGAGAGTTTAATAATAATAAGAGAGAGCTTAAACAAACTTTTTGTTCTTGCTTCGCTGGTTTATCCTCAATTGTTTCTCTGTTTTAGAGTTGCCGAATGGTGGTGCTTATGCATGGTGGCGTTGCCGTATACGTCTACGTGGCTACTCTTTTAGGTTTAAATTTCGTTGGCGAATAAATAAATATCGTCAGCCATATCGTCCTTGTATTTTTCCCACAATGCGGTTTGTTCGACGGATGACATGTGGCTATCGATCATCATAGCCACATGTCATCGTACGAATTTGATTCGCTGGCGCAGAAACAGTTGAATCGGCGAGCGTAGAGTCACAGTACGTATCGTTTTCGAGCAAAATCAAACTTTGGCAAGCCTTCTAAAAAGTGGCGAACAGCTCACCATCCACAGTACGCACGAAAGCGAAGGATGTAGGGCCCTTAGTGCTCACCAAAAGCAAGCGAAGACAAAAGCATTCGTGTTAGCGTGGATGAACTGTGTATATTTGTCCGAGGGCATTAGTCGAATAGACATAAGCGAAGCCAGCAACATCGTCACCTCTCTTCCGGCTTGGAAACTTCTTAGATGCAGTATTCCATGTATAATATCGTGGAATTTCCGAATACATATAGTAAAGTACTTGCAAACGGATCGCTTTCGCATGTCGAAAATAAATTTGTCAATGTGTTCGCTATTGGTCGTTCTGCTCTTTGCGCTACATTTGCGTCCGTAATGTACACACGCTGGCCGTGCTCCAAGTGAACTGCCAAATGCACGACAGTCGGGTGACCTTCATGGATCGGAAATGAAAACAGCCGCCGAATTGCTTCGTTAAAACTCACGTAACGTCCAAGTTAAAATTTCGGCATTTCGTCAATGCCATAAAATGTCGCTTAACGACATCCTTTCCTTTCAATTTCATCACGATTGATCTGTCGTCATTTGGAGAACGATGCCGCGATATACAAAAGATATCCGGCCATTCCACTGATTGTGTCGTTCACCAACGGACGGGAAAAACGCTGTGTGAAATTTCCGTTTTTACCGTTTTGCACGGGGAGTCTGGGTTGTGGACTCCGCAAGGGACATGGATCATATTCGTTGTCACAATGGAATGCAACTCCGGATCAGTTTCTGGATCTGGTATTTCGGCAGAAATGATCGAATCAATATGATTTGGTCGAATCTTGTCATCAAAAGCAAAATGTGTGCTTGTAAACTATGCTTCTGCCATTCAATCGAGTACATCCAACAAAAAATTTCGCCAAAACCCTTCTCTGGCTGATGAGTCAAAACGGTCAATTCGAACAACTGAATAAAAATGTAAACCAAATCTGCCCAGCCGTTCTCACGTGATGATGCACTATACATTTTTATCTCTCCATTTTTATATATATTGATCTATACTATAAATTTCAGCAGTTAGCTAAAAAAAAGGCTCGGTGTTATTTATTCGAATTATGTGTTATATGATAGCGGTCGGGAGCCCGTACCGTACGTATCAGCCTAAGTTGCATATGAACACGTTTCCTGCTCCGGTTGTTTCCCAACATATGGGTAAATCCTGCGTAACGGACGTTACATTCGTACGCAAATTTGCTTGTTAAAATTGACACAGCTGGAGTTCACATTGGTATATTCTCATGCATTTTTTTTGCAAAATGGAGTTCTTTGAGATTATTTTTAAGCTAATTTTAAAATAGAAGGTTAACTATGTATATTTGAAAAAAGATATGCTTGCTTAAAATTCCGTTACGGACGTTATAAAAAATGGAAGTCCACTTTGAGGCTTGTGTGCATTGGCACGTTTTTTAGCGAATTTTGCATAATAAACAAAAAAGTTCGTATACAACAAATTAATTAGAATAAATGACAATATCAATTCAGCTTAGAAAAGAAATAAGTAGCCCCGTCAAAAAAATATCTTAATTATACCCGTACTCAAAAAGAGTTAAGGGGCATATTAGATTTGTGGTAAAAGTGTATGTCTGTAACGCAGGGACGGAAACGTTTCCGACCCCATAAAGTATATATATTCTTGATTAGCATCAATAGCCGAGTCGATATACCCATGTCTGTCTGTCCATCTTAATGAGCCCCTAGACCTCAGGGACTATAAGAGCTAGAGCAACAAAATGTTGTTTCCAGACTCATGTGATATCATGTGATTCGCCCCGCCCCCTTCCGACAACACAAAGGACGAAAATCTGTGGCAGCCACAATTTTAAAGATACGAGAAAACTAAAAAAAAAAGTATCGTAGAGAATCGGATTATTATTATACCCAGAGTAAAGAAATTAATTTTCAGTTGCTTCCCCCACCTCCTCTGGCGCTGGGGGTGCTACTTATTCTCTTGCTCGCTCGCACACACTCTGCCCTATGCAGTGCGCGACATTTCGCAGAGATGTTGAATCTACATTCAGATGTAGAATAAACATATTATGTCTCAGGCACACAACTCGGGAATCCTCTGGGAATTTTTTTATAAATGCTCTACAAAACTCATGCAGGATATGGCACTCGCTTTTGGCTGACAGCCTTCCGACTCTTCTGTACTCAGAAAAAGAGCCCAAAGTATACAATGCTAGACCTATAGAAAACTTTCCTTAGAAAACGCCTCGTTCTTTTCGGGTACATCCTTCTCCCAAAATGTCCCGAACCGCTTCTAAAAAACATCAAATATATTTGTATTTAAAGCATATTGATTGGAAAAGGTATCTGTGTTAAAAACACCTTAGTTTATAGTAGCTTGTGACTGCTTCTACTAAAACTCACAAACTACTACAAACTACAGTGTTTTCACACAGATACCTCTTCTACTATCTTAGCTTAGTCAATATTGGCCTCGTCATCATCATCCATGTCCAGCAACATGATTAGCTTGTGCAAGAAAATATTTTGCTGCTAAATGACATTCCCAACCATTGATAAATTATGAATATAAATTTTAGAAGCAAATACATTTTCCGCTGCAACAAATTGTGCGCAACAGCTGTTTTCATGGTGGATGGTGCCAGTGTGAATCGGAGTTTCTCGTTGGTCAAAAATTCCCACCGTTCCCACGGGATGGGCTCAGTGGGCAGAGACTATTAGCGGAAGCCGATTGCTAGCTCTTTGGCTAACCAGATAAATGCTCAACAGCGAGATAGATATGCAACCTATGCTATGCCACTAACCATACAGTATATAGATGTGCCAGTTCATACACCGAACGTGTCGCAGCTGAGTTTTCTGTCCCAGCTTCTGAGGCATTCGGGTCGGAAACTGGGCCGTTCGGCAAGTTGACGGCATGTTCCACTCATGACGGGATGCGAAAGCAAGACGAGAATTACAAATGTATGTGTGTACGCAGAAACGACAAAATAATTATCTATTCTTATTTTCCGAAAACGTCTTTGTTTTGAGTTTTCAGGTTACGTAAATGTGTGTGCCATGTATTCCCAGCAAACCAACGAAAATACCTTTTGCGAGAGTCCCTCAAAATGCTCGCAAACGAGCTCGCAAGCGAGCTTGTGTACGAGTGAGACACTCACAAACGAACTCGCATGCGAAAGTTTTACAATACAAATGCGGACTGTTGTACATATTGCAGTCATTCCGGTAATTTTACGTAAGCGCCCTCTTTGTGTCCTTTCTCTCACTAACGCCGTTCCAGCTCCATCTCCGCCGATATAGGGCTCACATTACATGGGTGAGAGAGAGAGAGAGAGATAGAGAGAGAATGAGTAAGCGAGGACGGCACGATACAGAAAAACAAGGCCGCCATTTTGTACTTATTCTGCCAGATGTTCAAACCAGGTGTTCGGTCGTACATTATCTACGTCACGCGTCACTACAGCTGTGCTTTTCTAACATAACGCTGCTGTGCGTGGTGCTTTCTTCTTTCTCTGTATCGTGCGTGGAAGGTTAGCTATGGCAAATTAATTTGATAATTCGGGCTAGAATAATGATTCCATCTGACCCATATTCGGAAATCTGGTAGATATTGTGAATTTCTACAATTGTGCGTTTTTTTGTTTCTTAAAAATTTTAGTAGTAGCCCTTGACTCATACTTTACATTTCACATATACTCTTCCTATTTGGGAATTTTTTCATCAATAGACCAAAATTTCGACCAAACCATATCTCAGCATAATATAAAACAAATTTCCTGGCGTGGTACAGATTCTAAGAAGTATGTGAGAGGCCTTCGCACCGCTTTATCGTTAAGAAGTAAGATTTACTATTACAGCTTGTATAATTTCTCAATTTTTAACAATTTCTTGTTGTCTACAGTTGCATTTAAACATTAGTTTGCCCCATAGGACAACGACTTCGACCGCACAACCCAGAAGTTCTTTCAATACGCGCAGGAGAGAAAGACGAGAACAAAGAAATGTGACGAAAAAAAAATAGATTATGTTAGTTATAACATACATATTTTAACATTAATATTTAAAAGTACAAATATTCTTATAGGGATCAAATGGGAAGGGAACAAAAAATAACTCGCAAAACTATTTCTTGCGAGCCTTTTGCGATATCTTTTCTGATTCATTTTTGATATTACAGAAGTCTCGCAAAAGATATCAGAAACGACTCACTAGAAATATCAAAAAAGTCTCACAAAAGATATCGCAAACGATACGTTTGCGAGCTATAATATATGTGAAAATCATTGCCACAACTGAACGACACAAGTATCATATTTCTATCATATACGAGTCCAAATGCAAGCGTTTTGTCGGGTTAAGTCTCACATTTGACTCGTATGTGATATCATTTGCGAGCGTTTAGTTTGCTGGGCTCTCACATACTGTGCTTGTGTGTGGGTTCTACAATTTTTGGACGCTTGAACCGGAATTTGTATATATTCTTTCTTTTGCAAAGAATTGGTATATGTATATACATATGTAGATTTTTTAGCTTAAATAAATTATTTATCATCTGTAAATTTATGGTTACTTATGTACATAAATAATGTGCAAATGCCGTCGGCTTTTGACTTCGTTGCTGTCGTAATATCAACTTTGTCAATAAATTAACATATATTTTTCAGAGAAAATTTTACGATCCATATAATTACATTTAAGGATCTTTTTAACAATTTAACATGTAACAATTTCATTTAACTAATAACGCACACTGTAATCACTAAATCCACTTACCTGACTTTAGAAACACTAAAAACTACTTTTAAAAGGAATAAACATCTAAATAGACGCACAACAACAAAAAATCACAGCGATCGCAACAAAAGATTTCACCAATTAATAGGTTTTTCTTCCATCATCCCCCTTTTAGAAGACGAAATTAGGCTCGAATGCATATAGAGAAAATTCAAAATATGAGAGATAGGGAAATCTATGGATATCTGCTTCTCTTTCTTACGTGTCCGCATCGATCTGCATGTTTCATGTTGACGTCGACGTCGCTGCTTTTGTCGACGTCGGGCCTGAACAATTTTTCCTATGACACTTTCATGCCGTGACAGCCAGAACCGCTGGGACCCACAAAAGCACAGTATGTGAAATCAACAAAAAATCTAGAAAATCTGTGTAAAATATTTATATATTTACTTTTATTTGAAAAAAATTGTTGGATGGCTTTTTCATATGAAATTATCCGTGAAATTCCATTTAATTTCATGAGAGGTTTCACAGGTGATTTCATATAGGACATTTCGGAAGTGCTTTCACTCATGGCTTATACGTACGTATGTATAAGCCACCGGTGAAATCACAGAAAATTCAGTGAAAATTTCACATGAAGTTTCAGGAGTGAGAAAAGCTGACATGCAGATACAAATTTCATCTGGATTTTCACCTGTGAGTCACCACTGGCCTAGGACATGCCATGAGTGATTCACCGATTGAATCACGAGTGAAAAGTGACTTTTGGAACTGCAGGGGTGTTACACGTACACACATACATGCTTGCTGTCCGTCGGCTCGTGTCACGTCATGAGCCGAACGCGGTCATTCCCAGAGCCGAACACGATCGGCCCCAGAGCCGAAGACCTGGGAACGTACGCTGAAAACTAAGCTGCGACACGTTCGGTGTATGAACTGGCACATCTATATACTGTATGGTTAATGGCTGTATGCATACAAGAGAGCAAATAGCTCTAGAGCGCTCTCTCTCTCTCTAAAAAAAATCTAAATCTAATTCTTGTGCAAAAATTTCGTATGGCGTTATGTATATTATTCTTATATTGTCTTTGTATATACTCTATGGTTAGTGGCTACTCGAAGAGAGAATAACAGATCTGATATTGGAAACGTCGGCCGATCCAAGCTTCAGCCAAGCTATATCGAGACTATTACATGTTATCTTATAAACAACGCAAGTATTTGACGGTAATACTGCTGTTACTGATACTGCGCGACACATTCCATTTCCAATTAAATAATGAGACTAGGGAAAAGCAAATCCAACCGGAAAAGTACCTTAACTGTGTTTACTTTAAACCAATTTGTAATCAAAACACAGCAGACTGAGCAGTATAACGAATTAATGGCACTATGGCAAACAATTTGTCTAATCTGTGTACTACAAGTATGCTTCAGTCAATTCACAACTTCTCTTGCGATTTTCGTTAGCCGGAGATGGCTTTATATGTACATATAACTATATAACAAACTAAAAATTCCTGACTACTTACATGGATTTATTTCTGAAAGTTATTTAGTCGTAAATGAAAAATTCACAATTGTTGATACAAATGTAGTTACATATATACAAAAAGTACTGTTTTTCGTGATAACGTTGTTTTTTATTCTTTCGAATTTTTTAAATGTTGACCGAAAATTGTTTTCTTGAATGTCTAGTATAAGTACGATCGTGAGCAGAAGAGCATTGAACTATTAAAAAAAAAGAATCCAACAAATCACGGACAGAAGTATTACAATTTTAAAGTAAGGAATTACAACTAATGTCACAATATCGCATGACAAATTCTTATACTGACATTATACAAATGTTATTCTTAGCTTGTTGGCCATATACAGCAATATAACCGCGGATTTGTCGATAAAATATATTGTCATCCCTCGGAAATATACCGAAATATAACTTCTCTTCTTAAGAATATACTGTAAATATACCGTTGAAAAATTTTTTTAAGTAATAAACTCTGCGCTATTTTAGCATCTCGGGGGGACGGTGACTGACACTAATCACACTGGCATCATCCACCATCCATACATCCATGACCAGCTGGATGAGCATAACATAACGAAGATTCGTGCGGAAAAAAATGTTTGTTTATTTATTAAGTAAGTAGGGATAAAACTGCCGAAAATCAATTTTTAGGAAGACGGTGACCCGAATAACACGGCCAAATCGTAATAAATTTGCTAAATATTCCCTTTATGTAGGGGCCTACCCAAAGCCCAGATTTATATAGCATTAAAAATCTATAGGCTCTGCCTAAAAAACGATTGGAATAGTATGAGTCTGCGCCAAATGGACTGGAAAAGCTTTGGACGCGGATCCAGACTAAGTGGCGCATGATACCTCTCCAACACATATCGTATCTATCCGAAGGTTTGCCCAAATCATATTTTGTGGAAGGTTTGCCCATATGTATTCAGAGTTTGATAAAAGATAAAGGCCTGATAATCTTCAAATTTTTAGTGAAGACGATTTCTTTTAATCGTAGTTATTGTTTGTTTTTATTTCTGTATAACTAAAGAATATATAAAAAAAATATTCACAAGGATTGACTAATTTTTTTAATGTCTTACAGGCGCTTAAACTGACCACTGATGATTGGAAACAACCACTGCACGGTGGGTGCGCCCATAGGCCAAAATTCAAAAAATCCATCTAAAAATTTTTAGTCAAAATTTAAACAGTTTTTCTCTAAATTGTCCAAATTTCTTAATGGCAAACCATTTTTTCCGGAAATCTAACTGGACTTTCTAAAAATAGAATGCAAAGCGAGAACACGTGTTCAATTTTTCAGCGCCGTTGCGTCAAGTTAACTTTTCATCAAAACAAAAGTGCTTTTAGAAGTGGTCAGGCGTTCGAAAGAGTTATCCTAATTTAATTATTTAAAATGAATTTTAAAGTTGAAGGTATTTACTTTAGTTGTTGTTCTTGTAAAATTAATCTGATTGATTAAATTTTTTTTGTGTATTTTAGATCGATTAAACCTTTTTTGTGTAATTTGTAAACGTATTTTTCATGTTTAGTTGGAGTTTTAGTTGTGATCCCACAAAATTCCACAATTCGTTTGTGTGTTTGTCTGATTCTTAAGGTACAATAATCGTTAAAATTAGCTGCAGAAATTTGCAGATGTGTATATAATCGTAAATATACTGACGACGTCTGACGTTTTTCAAGGTTATGTTTTTGCGTATTTTGATTTTTTGATATTTATTTGTGTTGTGTGCATATGTGTGGCTGTCTGTGTACGTCGACGGTCGACGGTGCGTAGCTCGCGTCAGCTCCACACATGCAAAGCCACGCAGCTGTTCAGCAATGCGCACAGTGGAATATTCTGGAATACACACACATACATATACAACAATAATCACACACTCCGTGTGCGCAATATTGTTTTACATACATACTGTCATGTGTACGCATGCAAAGGAAGTTTTCACCTTGTTTGTTTTGAATCAGTTCAGAGCCATGCGAACGAAGCTTGCTGATATTGATTCGCACTGCTCGAATTCGGTTTTTTAGTGATTTGGGGATATTTAAATCTTACTGAAGGCATGATTCGTAATGATCGAACGCATTGAAGGGGCATGAGTATATTTTATGAATCATGTGGATTCATGCAGGGCTCTAATACGAACCATAAGAAGTAACATAAACATGAATCTACTGATTTTGCTGATAAGAGAAGTGGGAGAGCGAAAATAGGTGCAAGTCATTAAACGTGCAAAAGTGAGTACATGCGGGGTTTTTTGGATTTTAGTTTCTGTTTTTTACTCCAATTTGTTTCGAATTAAATGATAAGTTTAAAATAATTTAAATTGTTGGATTATCTAGTTTCGTTGATTTTTTATGAGTGACGAAAGTCAGTGTCGTGAACATGCACTTTTGGTCGCCACTGTATGTATTTGCTTCTTATTCCTGCGCACCATAATTTTACAGCCATTAGAAAAACAACAAGCAGCAGGTTGAAGTAGGCTGCTGAAATGGGAAATATTTTGATTGATATTTGGCAGTAGAGTATTGTGGATTTGCATGGTCCTCGAAAAAATTCCCTTGTTTATATGGATATGGCCCAGTCCATGTTAGCGGCACGAATCGAACATTCATGTTCATATCTACGCCTCGTTGAATTCATTAATTATTGACTCATTAATTACAACTATCCATTTTTGCTTAATAAGCAATATCATTTTCCGCACAAATCTTAGTTATTTTATTTTCATCCAACTATTTTTCCATGGGTGGTGCCAGTGTGAACAGGAGTTTCACATTTGTCAAAATATCCCACCGTTCCCCTGTAATGGGTTCATTGTGCAGAGGCTATAATGTACATACCATATTAAAAAATACAATCCATTAATCATATTAATTATTACATATAACATTTACTTCTCCATATATTTGTATTTATTCCAAATAAAAAAAACGGGAAATATTTCTCAGATAGACCGTGTGTGATTGTTTGTTTTTTTTGTCAGTCATTCAGTCAGGCTCCGGTTTGAACTTTCACAATAAAAATGTGATTTACTTTTCAAAACGAAAAGTCTGATGCTCCGTACTCGTTAAACACAAGAATTTTCCGTTTTCAAAACGGCAACAAATTCCTCGCTGAAATTAAAAGCACCCGGGTTTTTATACAATTAAACAAATCTTACTTACAAAAGGAAAATAATAGATGACTTAATAATGCATTAATATGAATTTGACACCATTACCTGGGCAATTGAGCTAGTGCCCTATTTATAAATCATTATTATTTAAGCCAACCTCAAAATTGGATCTGAAAAAATTGGTCAGGGCAAATACAATTAGTAAATTCATCTTAACAGCAGTGGCAGCCCGATTTGGCTATCGATAAATCTCTGTTAGGTATAACAGCAGTGAACTTGGCGCAAAGAGTAAACAAATCCAGAGCGCCTTGAAATGAAAAATATAACTTTTTGCTGAAAAGTAAAACGCAGAGTGAATGTGAAAACCGGAGCCTGCCTGATTGAGTTTCTTTTGAAATTCTAAGCGATCATAAACCAGTGGGGTGTCTAAGTAACATTACAAAACACAATTTTTTCTGAGGGAACCGAACCGTTCAGGTCTGCTTTGTAGAGGCATTTATCAGCTTTTTAGAATGAAAAAGATCATTAGAGAACAAATCATGCGCTACTTCTGTTTGGTCTCCCAGCCGAGCATTATTTAGTATTTTAAGTCAGTGGTGCAGCCTTTAAGTAATTCCTGTTATATGTTCGTTATTTGCACTGCCCACTGTACCTAATTGTAATCGACATGCATCTACACCCGCCCCCTCACTGTAATAGCCGTTTCAACCGTTCTTTCGACTCTTAGTCACGCGCTAGAGCTGTCAAACGATTGATAGTTGAGCCATCGATAGTTTTGAAAAAAACAATCGATACTATCATGATAGTATCGGGCTCAAATAATTATTACTAAAAATGCTATTAAACGCTATTCAAAATTAAACGGTTTATTCATACTCTCAAAATATCAGTCTCAAAACAATATAAAATAATTCATAGTTTTTTTTTATCCTTATTTACGAAGTTACTAAGTGTTGTAATCGGTAATCCACCAATTTTTGTTGATAAACAATAGTTTTTCAACAATTTTCGGTTTCAGCGCGTATCTACGATCCGAAATAATTTGTCCGGCCTTTGAGAACATCCGCTCGGACTCCGTCGAGGTTGCGGGAACACACAGAGCTTTCCTTGCCACATTGGCTAGACATTGGCATGTCACTTTCATTGCTCTGAAAAAAAACGTATATAAACAAATAAGTTTGATATACAAAAATGTAACTATCGCCACTTACCTTTTTTTGTCTGGACGGGGCACCGGGCCCGACCCACACGCGCGGGACCCGCGCACCCCCCCCGCCCAACCGACCGAGGGCGGCGCGACGGACACCCGGGCGGGAGGGAAGAGGGGCACACACAGAGCAGCGGGCCGGGGGTATGATAAGAGGGGGGAAGAGTGAAGTGGGGGGGCCCAGGGGAGGAGGGGGGGGGGGGCAAGGGAGTAGGGCCGGGGCCCACCGCAGGTGGCACCCGTTCACGACACAAGGTGGGGAAGCGGGGGGCCACCCGCACCCGAGGCCCGAGGGCGCGGCGGACTTGGGGGGCACCGGGGGACGACAGGGGGGGGGGGCCCCCCCAACCCCACCCGGCAACCGGGGTCGCCACGGGCCCGAACCAGGAACCCAAGAGACCACCGGGGCAGGAGCCAATGGGGGGGGGGCCGGGGCTTAGGGTACTGCCCCGACGGGGGGGCGGGGGGCCAACGGCCGACACCCGCAACGAGACGGTGTACGGGGCTATGGGGGGGGGGCCGGGCGGGGCGCCGGGGGGGGGGGGCTGCCTCGGGGGGACCCAAGGCGTTGGGGGGGTTCAAGCTGTGGCGGCGTCCGGCCTTGGGGTCTGTGGTGTGGTCCGTGCGGGGGGGGTTGGGGGGGGGTTTTTCGGGGGCCCCTGCGCGCCAGGGGGTCCGTGGGGGGGGGAGGGGGGGGGGCCCAGGGGGACCGAGGGGGGGCCGGCCGGGGGCGGGGGGGGGGGCCGGCGGGGGGGGCCGGGGGTGGGGGGTGGGGGGGGGGGGGCGGCGGGGGGGGGGGGGGTGGGGGTACGGGGGGGGCCCGTGGGGGTACGCGGGGCGGGCGTGGGGGGGGGGCCCCGGGCGGGGGGGCGGGGCCGCCAGGGGCCCGGGGGGGGGGGGGGGAGGGGCCCGGCGGGGGGGGGGCGGGCGCGGCGGCGGGCCGCGGCCCGCCGGCCGGGGGGGGGGGGGGGGGGGGGGGGGGGGGGGGGGGGGGGGCCGGGGGGGCCGGCCCCCAGGGGGGGCCGGGGGGGGGGGGGGGGGGGGGGGGCGCGGGGCGGGGGGGGGGGGGGGGGGGGGGGGGGGGGGGGGGGGGGGGGGCCCCCGGGGGGGGGGGGGGCGGGGGGGGGGGGGGGGGGGCCGGGCGCGGGGGGGGCGCGGGGGGGGGGGGGGGGGGGGCGCCCGGCCGGCCCCGGGCGCGGGGGGGGGGGGGGGGGGGGCGGGGGCGGGGGCGGGGGGGGGGGGGCGGGGGCGGCGGGGGGGGGGGGGGGCGGGGGCGGGGCGGGGGGGGGGGCGGGGGGGGCCCCCCGCCCTCCAATACTCTAATGGGTTGCAATCATTTCCGGTATTCATTTTTTCAAAATATTGTCGAAGAACCACAATTGCGTCGACTCTATTGTTTCTTTTCTTCTTTTCTATTTTGGTTTTTATAAACTTAAGCAGAGTTTGCTCGTGTGAGACTTGTACTGGCTGTTCTGCTTCCGGTTCTTCAGGTTGTTCTCCGTTGTAACTAGTCAACATGTTTTCCAACAAAACGACGCCTTGATCAGCATTGATATGTAAACGAAATCCTTCTTTTTTGTATCGTGGATCCATAATGGTGGCAAGTCTAGTTGTTGAACGCTCCAAACATATCAAAAGCGCAACAACTGTAGCTCGATACTATCATGATAGTCGCAAAACCATCGATAGTAGCGGCTAGCAGCAAAACATCGATACTATCGATAGTGCCCTCGATGGTTTGACACCTCTATCTCGCGCCTTTCTCCTTTACTTTTCTATCATTCTCGCTCTGTCGCTCTTTCGTTCTATCGATAATTTTAGCTCTCTCGTTCTCTCGAACACTCTCTCGCTCCCTATTTAGTAGCTTCGCGTAGGGCACGACCTAATCGACCCGCCATATTATCAATAAATAAACATATATGTATATTAATCTGTTCGTGGCGTTTCATTGTGAACCAAGGTGATACATTTGGTATCCTCGTCTAAACAACCTCTGAAAATTCTTTAAAAAAAAGTTCTAAGGTAAAAAAAAAAAATCTTATCAAACATTTTCAAAGCACCAAATCTAGCAGAACACGTCAGTTTGATTCCTAGAGGAAAAAAGGTTCGATTTTGTCGAGTAGTGTAAGAACCTAATATGTGAAGAACTTAATACAGCGTAAATGACTTTAAAATCATATATTTGGAAGGTAAACGGAAAAGAGGGGGAACGTAGAAACTTTTCTGTAGCCGCGACTTTACTTTTATCTCGTACTCAGTCAGTATATAGGTATGTGGGGTTATGATATACATACATATGGGCTAATCCTGCGCTAAGGGCGTTATATTCGTACGCAATTTTGCTTGTTAAAATTGACACAGCTGGTGTTCTCATTCATTTTTATACCCGTACTCAAAAAAGAGTTAAGGGGTATATTAGATTTGTGGTAAAAGTGGATGTGTGTAACGCAGAGAAGGAAAATTTTCCGACCCCATAAACTATATATATTCTTGATCAGTATCAATAGCCGAGTCGATATAGCCATGTCTGTCTGTCCGTCCGTCTCGATGAGGGCCTGGATCTCAGAGACTATAAGAGCTAGCGAAACCAAATGTGGTTTCCAGACTTATGTGATATCACACTGCTACAAGTGTATTTCAGAATTTCGCCCCGCCCCCTTCCGCCCTAACAAAGGACGAAAATCAGTGGCAGGCACAATTTTAAAGATACGATAAAACTAAAAACGCAGTATCGTAGAGAATGCCCATATCTACCAGATTGCCAAAATCTGAATCAGATCGGATCATAATTATAGCCAGAATGAAGAAATGTAATTTTCTGTTGCTTTCCCCGCCTCCCCAGCCAGAGACACACTGTTCATTCTCTTTCTCGCTCGCACACTCTGCCGCGTTCAGTGCGCGAGCAACCCCTAGCGGAGGAGATGTAGAATCTAAATGGTACATGTAGAATATACATGTTAGATGTAGAATATACATAGTATATGTAGATGTAGATAACAGATGTAGCAAAAAAATGTAATATGTAAAATTTTTTTTTTTTTTAAATTCTAAATAATTATATGCTCAAAAATGTATATGCTGACTGAGTACGGGTATAAGTAGAGTCGCATCCCCAGAAGCGACTCACACGTTCCTTCTCGTTTTTTTTTCAAAATGCAGTTCTTTGAGATTTTTTTTAAACTAATAGCCTTTTTACACTGGGCTCGTCTGCTATCTATATCGGAATAGACGCAATGAAGCAGAAAAGGCAGACGTGCGTCTTGAATTTTGATTTGGGTGCTTGATGACAAGGAAAGTAAACAAATTTTGATATTGATAGAGGTGGAAAAACATCGATGTTTGGAGACTTCGATGTTTTAGTGAAAAACATCGATGAAACATCGATGTTTTGCAACATAAAAAAAATATCAAAAATACATAGTAAACTGCAAAGAAAATAATTAAAATTATACATAATAACAGTTTTATTTCATTAGAGATCAAGAGTTCCGAAATCCATTCACAAAAATATATATATATAAAATAAGTGCATTTACCAGATTATATCTTAAAATAAGTCTTGATTCTTGTTGAGAAATAATAATTGGTACACCACTTCCGGCTTATGGCGGCTACGACGATCGGAAATAATTTGCCCACCCTTGCTGAACATCCTCTCTGACTCGTAGGATGGGCATAGCGACATACCTCAGGGTGACATATCTCCTGGCAGACCCTAACGACATATCTCCGCACGGAGATTTTGAAACGACATACATATCTCCTCGCGGAGATTGGCGTCATATCTCCGCCCAGAATTTAGCGACATATCTCCTGCTAGAAAAAGTAATGGCAGGATATACATATGTCGCCCGGAGATATGTCGTTACCCCGTAGGATGTTGCCGGGACGCACAACAAGCTTCAGCTTTAAATGGCATCATGCCGTCTGTATTGATATAAAAAGGTAACCATTTGAGCTTGATCTTCTCTCTTTAGGTTTTTCTTTCATAGACGACAAAAACATAAAAGCAAAACATCGATGTTTCGCCAAAAAACATCGATGCTTATAAAAATTTTAAAAACATCGATGCATCGATAGTAGCATCGATGTTTTTCCACCTCTAATATATATATATATTCTAGATCAGCATCAATAGCCGAGTTGATAGAGCCATGTCTGTCTGCCCGTCTGTACGTCTTGTTTGTCGCCTGGATCTCAGAGACTATAAAAGCTAGAGCAACCAAATTTTGTTTCCAGGCTCATGTGATATCACACTGCTACAAGTGTATTAGAAAATTTCGCCTCGCCCCCTTCCGACCACACAAAGGACGAAAATCTGTGGCAGCCACAGATTGAAGGATACCAAAAAATAGTAAATGCGTAGTATCGTAGAGAATGACCATATCTACCGAATATGAATTATATCGGAACATAATAAATAAATAAATAAATTTTCTGTTGGTTCTTCCGCCCCCTCCTGCCAGAGACCCGCTACCAATCTCTTACTCGCTCGCACACTCTGCCGCGTTCAGTGCGCGAACAACCCCTAGCGGAGGAGAATTTTTTTTTTAATTCAAAAATTCTAAAAAATCATAAGCTCAAAAATGTATATACTGACTGAGTACGGGTATAAGTACCCGTACATGTCCCGAGTGATTTCACTCATGGCTTATACGTATAAGTCACCGGTGAAGTCACTAGAAAATTCAGTGACACTTTCCTATTAAGTTTCACGAGTGACAAAAGCGGACATGTCCATAGAAATTTCATCTGGAGTTTCACCAGTGTGTCACCAGTGGCAGAGGACATGCCATGAGTGATTCACCGAATGAATCACGAGTGAAAAGTGACTTTTGGAACTGCAGGGTATTCTCAAATCTGACCATAAGAAGGTTGTAGAATTTTCGAAGGAGAGATTTATGTTTTTATCTTCGCAGTCAGCTGAGCTACCGCCGCCTTTAGTTCCAAATGTATAAATTTTAATGAATTGATCGGAGTTAAATGATATTTTTGTGGACACACGAGTACAGGTCTGGGCGGTTCACAATAGTGATCGACAATACGCACGTCTGTTCGTTGGTAGCATGAATTTCGACTGTGTTTATTAACAGAATGTAAGTGCTTAATATCTAGTTAACATGATGCGAGATGGTTGACTTCAAAACGAGCGTAGAATATGAGTATAAGAGAGGAGAACTTATGAGTGTATAACAGTACTAAGGGAAAGGTTGACCGAACAATCCTCTTCAGTCAATATTGCGCATATGCTTGCATTTGTAGAGGCATCTTTAAGATTGCCAGCCATTATCCATCCCAATTTAGTTTTTTTTTTAATCTGGGTAATTCTTATCCAATTGAAACATGCTTGTCTTGCATGACTTCGTTTATAAGCTTTTCAGAATGGCAAAGTTCCTTACAACCAGATGTAAGATACTTAAGTTATGTGAAAAAAGCACTACCTCTGAAAAACGCATTCAAAAAATACTAGTGTTGAAAAATTCTTTAAAAACAGTTCTGCAGTAGAAAAAAAAACATTAGTGCTTTAAAAAAATTAATGCTTCAAATCTATCAGAAAAAGTCGGTTTGGAGGCACCTTCCTCAAGGAAGGCAAAAAAAGTTCGAAGTTCCCTCTTGTAGCATATTCCATGCTGTAATGTAATTGCCTTTTGTTAAAGAAAGGTGGCGTTTAAATTCTCTGCCTCTCCCGTAACATTTGTCTTTAAATATCACAACTTTTGAATGACGGGTACAGATGCTTCACGAATCATTTTCTTAAAAATTTCCTGAATTTTTTGCCATGACACTTCATCAAATTTGGGGATTGAAACCTTTGGCAGGGGTTATGCATATGAGAAAGACCGTTAAATTGTGTTGATTGTGCTCAATTTTGAAAGCCTGGAATTATTTTTTTAATGTTTAATTCCACCTTTGAAAACGAAACAATCATTTTATTTTTCAACATAGTCTTAGTTTAGCTCTATACACTTTGTGTATAGTCTTTGTGTGTCCAGCATTTCTCCAATTTTTTTGGGAGGTGACTTTTCATAACCCTTCCTGAAGGTAACCAATGTTAATACCGCGAGCTTTCGAAAAAACGCTCGCCATGACTTTATTGTCTGAAAAACCGACATAAGCCTTCTTTTGCCTAGAATTACCCTGACAAACTTACTGTTTAACTTATTTGGTCTCTGGTGTGCAGTGCTGGATCCACGGTTTATCCACGTTTACGAAACGGCAACAAAATTCGTCCTTATTGTGCTTAAAATATGCCAAAAACTCCTTCGCAATTGTCACACTAGTGCTTTTGTGATCGATTGTGAGCCAACGCGACCATGTTGTAATAAATACTTGTCTGAATTTAAGCTTAAGTTCAAACGTGATCCGAAACAATTTTGTAGATTTGTCAACTCAAAACGTAACTCTTCTCAATTTCCTTCATCATTTTCCCATAATGACAGTCACGCTGATAACGATTGCGACATTGCTAATCCATTCTCTTTATTTTTTTCAATTTGGCCACTCTGTTCTTACAAGTAAGGGAGAGGGCCCTGTTG